GGGAACCGCCAACTGATAATGGTGGTAGGCCGATACTCGGATACGTGATCGAAATGAAAGACAAATTCACTGCTGACTGGATAGAGGTGAGTATTTCAGTATGTAATAGTCAGTTTACAAAATTAACTATATTAATTTTTCTTTTTTACTTGCAAAATAAACCCATCAAGAGTGAAATGATGAATCAAACTTACCCTCCATTATTTTTTGTTAGCGGAGAAATTATTTATTTCGACATAATTCATACAATTAATAGATAACAACATTGTCATATTATTACAAATAACTTCTACAGTCATAAAAAGAGTGGATAAATCCAAACATAAATGTTTGAGAGGGTAGAAAGAAAATAATTACACTACATCTATTTGTTCCTCCGTAGGTTGGTAAACTAACAGAGCCCAAAACGGAGTACAAGGTTGAGGGACTTAAGGAAAAGATGATCTACCAGTTCCGTGTAAAAGCTTACAACAAGGCTGGTGTGGGCGATGCTTCACAACCAACTGAAAACCATCTGTGCAAGCACAGGAACTGTAAGTATCACTAATTTAGTAAATTACTAGCTGGCGCCCACGACTCTGTCTATGGATTAAAAAAAACAGTATTAGTGGCCTATGTGTTCTTCCAGAGTATGAGAATATTCACTGAGATCTGCTTAGCCATTCTGGAGATACCTTCAATTAAACATCCCTACATCCATCTAAACATTCACATTTATAATATTAGTAAGATTAGGAGTATGTTAGTATAGAGGGTAGATTCATAATCTTCATAAAAAAATATTAATTGGTATTTATGACAATGCTAATGAACACGATTTAATTTTCAGTGAAACCTCGTATTGAGCGCAGCACATTCAAGTCAGTCATTATTAAGGCTGGACGTACACACAAGTGGTCAGTTGATGTCATTGGTGAACCTCCACCGGAGACCACATGGTAAGTTATTTATTTGAGTTTTTAGAATCGAAATAAATAATTTTTTCTCTACATAACTGTGAGTTCTTAGGGTTCTTTCACATAGACTCGGGAGCAGAGCTGAGTCTTATTGCAATTAAAATTGAGCAGAGAGAAATAAGTTTTAATATTTCTTTTTATATATTTTTGCACTAGCTCTTAATAAAAAAGATGTGCAAAGTAAAATTTAAGCTTGTTTCAATTCTTTGAGGCTCAATATTATTTCTGATATAAAATCTGTCCTGCTCACTGCTCCGGTGTGTGTGAATGAACCTCTATTGCCAAAACGATAACATAAAATGTCTTATTGAACCTCTTTCCGAGACAAAGACATAATGTATATGTAAATATTATAGCAGGGTGATTAGTAAATTAGAACTTTTTATTCATCGGCTCTGTACATAACTGTCAGTTATCTGGTGTTTGATAAACTATTAGTTTCTGAAACCCTTAAAGAACTTTTAGCAATGTGTTCTACTAGCATTATATCTAATACAAGAGAGTAGAGACAGACTTAACATATAATATAATCGACATTTAATCTTCCAGGTCATGGCGAGAGAACATCAAGCTCGTTAACACTGAGCGCATCAAGATTGAGAACAAAGAGTATCACACAGACTTCACAATAGTGAATGCTGTGCGACGTGACACGGGCAAGTACACACTGCGGGCTGAGAACTGCAATGGCTTTGATGAGGAGACTGTTGAGTTGACAGTACTGAGCAAGCCAAGTGCACCTAAAGGTAACTATATGATATAACTCTATATTAATACTAGTTGATGTCCGCGACTATCGCGCGGTATTAAAATGATAGTAGCAGATTCTTAGACTTACTGACTATTCATAAATTTTTTTATAATATTTGGTTAAGGTTTTAGGATTATGGGAACTACAATTGTGACATGAAAATTTTATATAGATGATTATAAAGAGATTATTTATTTGCTTTATATAAATTTAGAATTGGATATGTTTTTAATTTTTTTTTAATTTCATGAAGCTCTTAGTAGATAACTTGGGATACTTTTTCTTTCACTTGTGTATCAATATTTAGACAAATAGAGTAAGTGCTAATTTGGAACAGTTAGTACCTAATCAAACAGTATATGTTTTTTTTTTAATTATTTTGGTCTAAGTCTATTTTGTTTTTTTCCAGGACCGTTGGAAGTAACAGACGTGCACGCGGAAGGTTGCAAAGTGAAATGGGAGAAGCCGGAAGACGACGGCGGCTCTCCTGTCAAGGAGTACGAGCTGGAGAAGATGGACCTTGCGACCGGCAAGTGGGTCCGTGTTGGAAGGTAAGGCTTAGCACGATAATTTTTTGTTAAATTAAATCTAGGATTATTTAGTATATCCTAGCGTACCATGAAAATTATAGATCTTAGTGAAGTGGTCCAGTGGGTGTCAGTGGCGCCCCCTGCTAACTACATACATTTTTTTATTTAAACCTTGTTTAGTTTAGACAACCTTGCTGTTTTGTCTCAAATGAGCCATAATTATTAAAATTATATACGTAATTATTAGGGTATTTATATAAACATTTGTACTATAGAGTGGCGGGTGACAAGAAGCCGTTAGAGATGGAGGTGACAGGCCTGGAACCCGGACACCAGTACAAGTTCCGTGTCACCGCTGTCAATGACGAGGGAGACTCGGAGCCGCTAGAGACAGAGCGCGCTGTACTCGCCAAGAATCCATACGGTCAGTATATAAAATAAAAATAAAAAATCTGCAAAATAATTAATCTGTAATAAGATTATGATGATATATTTAATTTACCCCAAATATTCTACGAGATTTAATAATATTCAAACTCACAGGAGATTGTTTCTACTAGAAAAAAAAAATAGCATCAATCTGTTAATTTTTATACAGTACTAGCGGTTGCCCGCGACTCCGTGTGCTAAATTTCATGGAGACACGTTCACCCGTTTTTTAGATACCTTCAAACAAACATCCATACATCTAAACATTCGCATTTATAATATTAGTAAGATTTTTTTGTTCATAATACAGATGTATCGGATAAGCCCGGCAACGTGGAGGTGGCGGATCACGACAACCAGAGCGCTGACATCAAATGGGAGCCGCCGGCGAACGATGGTGGCGCCCCCATACTCAAGTACATCATACAGAAGAAACCCAAGGGTGGAGACTGGGAGACTGCTGCTGAGGTAAGATCCACATTAAATATACCACAAAAACAGTTAGTTATTACTTTATTGCTAAGAAATACTTCTCTAAAGAATCTCCTAGTCACCCCTAACTTAGGGTAGGCTTCAAACTCCTTAATGGGGTTTAATAGTGAGCTGATGATGTTTACTATATACTTTGCAAATATTTTATAGGTGCCCGGATCAGCAACATCAGCTAAAGTGGACGGTCTACCTGAAGGCAGTGAGTACCAGTTCCGTGTGATCGCAGTCAACAAAGCCGGACCTTCAGAGCCTTCTGATGCCACCAAGATGACCACCATCAGACACAAAGCTCGTAAGTAACAACTTGTATTATACAAAACTAGTTATCGCCCGCAACTCCGTGCGTGCGGAATTAAAAAAACATAATTAGTAGCCTATGTGTTCTGCCAGAATATGTTTTATGTGTATGCCAAATTTTATCAAGATCTGTTCAGTCGCTTGAGATGAACCTTCAAACAAACATCTATCCATCCATCTAAACATTTTCATGTATAATATTAGTAAGATAAAAAGTTTTTATTAGTCATTTCTCCTAATATGGCTTAATATCCTATCTAATATGGCGCCATCTATCGTTAAATTTTGGATATGATTTTTTTTGACACCTTACTTGTTGTTACAGTGAAGCCTCGCATCGACCGCACGAATCTTAAAGCGCTTGCAGTGCGAGCCGGTAAGCCTATATTCTTCGATGTGAACGTCCGCGGCGAGCCCGCACCTAAAGTGCAATGGTTCCAGAAGTGGAAGGCAGAAGAGAAAGAGGTACATACTTTATTTAGAGTTAAATAAGTATAACACAATCGAAATTCAACTCTATCACAACACACTAACGTCCAATTTCCTTTACAGGTAACAGAGAACGTGATCAACGTGGATTATAACACGAAGCTGGACATCAAAGAGTCTGTACGTGCTATGACGGGTACTTACCGCATCCTGGCCACCAACGAGCACGGCAGCGACGAGGCCGAGGTGGAGATTACGGTATTGTCCGCTCCCGGCAAGCCTACAGGACCTCTCAAGGTCACCGATGTAACTAAGAACGGCTGCAAACTCGCCTGGAAGAAGCCTGAGGATGATGGTGGTATGTATCTTACTAAATTATTAGATTCTTGTAGGAAAATATTATTATGTAATTTCCATTTCAAGATAACACTTGTACTTGATACTTGGGCTTGGTTTTTTATAAACAAAGTAGACCAGAGGATATTTCGATGTAACGTAATATTGTGGTTTGGGATTTTTAATGTCTAAGAATTAGCATACTCGTTTAGATTCATGCTTAATTTTATCTATTCATATTTATATTAAATCTTTTTGCTCATATAAACTTTGTTACAGGTAAACCCGTCACTGGCTATGTTGTTGAGAAGCTGAACAAGGCAACCGGCCGCTGGGTGCCAGTTGGCAAGACTGACGACACGGAGATGGAGATCAAGGGTCTGCAGGAAGGCGAGGAGTACGAGTTCAGAGTACGCGCCGTCAATGAGGAGGGAGAGTCCGAGCCTTTGAAGACAGATCACTCTATATTGGCTAAGAATCCATACGGTTAGTTGATGTATAACTTTGCATGACAGAGGGCGTGGCTTTATATGTGTACGCCCACAACGAGCACGTGTACGCATGTACCCCTAGTCAAATATGAGTATTAACTGTATATCAAGTTGATTTCAACTGTATATACTTGATGTTAAGGTCCTCATTTATATAACTAATGAAACATAATTCGAACTTAAATTTTTTAGCGTTCTTACAAATTCTTTGTAATTTTTTTTATTAATTATTTATGTGTCGTTTACTTTATAGATATCCCTGGAAAGCCGTCAGTGCCTACTATCGAGGACTGGGACGTGGACCGCGTGGATCTCAAGTGGGAAGCGCCTAAGAACACAGGCGGTGCGCCCATCACTGGTTACATTATCGAGAAGAAAGAGAAGTTTGGACAATGGCAGGAGGCACTCGTTACCACGGTAACGTAACAACTACTGTAGTTCTATATAACCGGCTAATTATCTTTAATATTAGGGAAATAACTAAATATTTGCTTGTTAGTTTGACCCATTTTTTTGTTTCTTATGGTGGCAGCGCCACCTATCGGGTCATCTAGTACTATAATCAATTTGAGAATTACTTGAACTAGTCTTCAATTTCCTTTAATATCACTCCTCCTCCTCCAGTTTTTTTTTTACAATATCAAGCAAATATAACCCTTATGATGTATTTCACAGACGCCGGAATGCAAGGCGCGTGTACCAGAGTTGCGTGAAGGCAATACGTACCAGTTCCGCGTGCGCGCAGTCAACAAGGCAGGCCCGGGAGAACCTGGCGAGCCGACACAGCCGCACGTCGCTAAAGCCAGATTCTGTAAGTCGATTTTATTAAACTACCTGCAACACTTAACGAGTATAATGGTCACTAAGGAAATCCTTCAGTGTAGATTTTGTAGGAGACAATTACACTAAGGAACTGTTAAACAACTGAATTGTATTAATTTTTGTATATGTATATATTTTTCAGTGAAACCATACATAAACCGCGACAAGATGGTGGCAATCCGCGTACGTGCTGGTACCACCATCAGACTGGATGTCGACGTGAGGGGAGAGCCCCCGCCGACGAAGACATGGACATTCGCCAACAAGGTAACGTACAATGTTCTAAGAATGTTTAGAATCTTACTAATAATACTAGCTGTCGTCCGCGACTTTGTCCGTGCTGGATTAAAAAATAAATAGTGGCCGATTGTCAGATATACTGTCAGTATAAAGTCGCGAGCCAAAGGTAGATACACATATGGCTGAAATCACCAACAATTTGGCTATTGTTTTTTTTAAGTTTATTTCTATGTATTTATTATATTTCTTTGGTTCCAGGTGATTGAAACCGGTGTCGGTGTCAAGTTGGAAAACGAGGACTATAACACAAAGCTCCAGATCTTCGAGTCCACCTGGAAGAACTCTGGTATCTACACGCTCAAGGCGGAGAACGACTCGGGCGTGGATGAGGCTACCGTGGAAGTAACCGTACTTGGTGAGTACAACTCATAGAAATTTAAGTTTCTCCAAACTTACTTCTTACTAATTTTATAAACTAGCAGTCACCTGCGCAGAATTAAAAAAAGCCTTTGTGTTATTCCAGGCTATACACCTATGCCAAATTTCAGCGAGATCGGTGGAGCCGTTTCGGAGATACCTTTAAAAAAAACATCTATCCATCTAAACATTAGTAAGAAGTAAGATGTGAATGTTTGGACGTATGAATGGAAAAGGTATCTCCAGAAAGGCTTCATGAATCTCGATGAAATTTGGTGTAGATGTAGAAAAGCCTGGAAGAACACATAGGCTGCGTATGATCCCGGAAATGTGTACGGTTCCCGTGGGATACGTTTGATTTACATATTTATTTGACAGCTTCGTAACGGTTCAACTCATGTTGTAAAAACTTGGTACAGACAGAATTTAGTCCAAAACATGTCGTAGTTTAAAAGTTACTAAGACATAACAAGTTTTTTTTTATTTTTATTTAATGGGACGTATCTTCCACTTTCAGACAAGCCAGGCAAGCCCGAAGGTCCGCTGGAGGTGTCCGACGTGCATGCTGACCATGTCAAGTTGAGCTGGAACAAGCCGAAGCACACCGGCGGGCTGCCACTCAGCGCGTACGTTGTAGAGAAGATGGACACGCTCACTGGAAAATGGGTGCCAGCGGGTACTGTGGAGCCTGATACCACAGAGGCTACTGTCACTGGTAAGTACTGTTTTACCGACGTTAACATGATACATTGACAGGTTATAAACCTTATTTTGTGACTATTTAATTTTCTGGATTTTGGCGCTGGCGGTTTCCTAATGGTGGTAAGGATTGGAACTAACAATAGTAGAATTAAATGTCAAGTACTTCGACTGTTTGAGTCGAAACAAAGTAAAAGCTGATATTTCCAAGCAATGACTCATCCATTTATAGAGTTACTGTTTTACCGACTTTTATGGCAAAGAGTCGGACTGTTTTACCGTAATTTATATAATACACTGTTTTATCGACATATACATAAAATTATGGATCGACTTGCAACTTAGTTGCAACTTTAGAAAAATTGTTACTGTCTACTTCTTCAATAACATTTAAAGTCTGTATATTTAAATTTGTTTGCCTTTTACAGGTTTAGAAGCCGGTCATACTTATCAGTTCAGGGTAAAGGCCCTGAACGAGGAAGGTGAGTCGGAGCCCCTGGACACGGACCACGGCATCCTGGCGAAGAACCCGTACGATGTGCCCGCGCCCCCCGGACTGCCAGACATTGTGGACTGGGACGAGAAGTCCGCCAAGCTCAAATGGGAGCCTCCCATCAGGGACAATGGAGCACCCATCACTGGATACATTATCGAAGTCATGGATAGAGATAGGGGCGAGTTTGTTAAGGTATGATGATTTTTAATTCGCATAATCTTTTCTATTTTACTTTATGAATAAATCTTTACAGGCATAATTTTAAGTTAACTAATGTTAAAAAATTTATAATTTTTCATAATTCTTAATCTAGTCTTATAAGTATATTTTTTCTAAGCAAAAGTTGTCCAAAAATCTATTTTAATAAGTACATTGTACATATTAAAATGTTTCTGACAATTTTGACCTTTAAAATTGATGATAGAAAGTTTTATATTTGTGAGTTGTCAATTCTTAATTTAATGTTACCTTAGGCCGCCGAGATCCATGGCAACATCTGTCAGGGCACCGTACCCAAGCTGGAGGAAGGCAATCAGTACCAGTTCAGAGTGCGTGCCTTGAACAAGGCCGGTCAGTCCGAGCCCTCGGAGAACACCAACTGGCATACTGCTAAACCAAGATTCTGTAAGTACTACCCGTGCATCATAACATGACACCAGATTGACATCACAGAAACTTTGCTAATAATTTAAGTATAAGAAATTGAACACCAATTTTCTTTTTAAAGTAGAATACATGTAATTCTTTCTCTTTCTCTCTTAGTCATTGTCACATAAGTTCATTTCATGTATTATTTTTCCAGTGAAACCGCGCATCGATCGTACAAACTTGAACCCGTTGACTGTAAAAGCTGGGTTGCCAGTATCATTAGATGTGAAAGTATTCGGTGAACCACCGGCCACAGTCACCTGGTACTTCAAGGGTGAGGAGCTGAAGAACGGCCCCAACTTGGAGATCATCAATGTGGATTATAACACCAAGTTCCTGATGACGAAGAGCAAACGCGCCAACACCGGAAAATACGTCATTAAGGCGAAGAACGAAGTCGGTGAAGACGAGGCTGAAGTCGAGATCACAATTCTCGGTATGTAGAAGTTTCTAGAAGTTTATTTTGAAATCTATAATAAAATAGATATATATTTTTTTACAAACGAAATTTTTAAAGGCACAAATCTTGTCTTGCGTCTTTAGTACATCCTAACTGAGTTATCTAGTAATATTATGTGTGATTTAATTGATTATTTATCAATTAATTATTTATAGCCCATTCTCTATATTTAAAAAGGTTGTCAATTAAAAAAGGGTCTCGACAGACAGACGGACGGACAACAAAGTGAGCCTATAAGGGTTTCGTTTTTTTCCTTTCGAGGTACGGAACCCTAAAAACTGTAAATGTGATTCGTAGTTTTGGATTACATTCATACATTTGAACTTATGATATTAAATTTTTGTTCTTATCATTTATAGGCAAGCCATCTAAACCCAAGGGTCCGTTGGAAGTGTCTGACGTGACAAAGAACAGCTGCACACTGACATGGGACAAGCCGGAGGACGACGGTGGCGCCCCCATCGAGTACTACGAGATTGAGAAGTTGGATCCACTTACTGGTATGTTAAATATAATTTAAATCAAGTTAAAAAGTACGTTGATTAAAATCACACATTTTAAATAAAATAATTTAATTGTTCCGACCATTACTAAATATTTAGTTAAGAAAATAGGTACTTTTAGCTTTTGCTTAAAAATGAGGAAAATTTTACCTAATTATAGAGATGATTGGAGGGGAATATTCTTAAATATTCTTCTTGGGAGTTTAAACGCAGATACAACTTTGGTACAAGTCTTACCGTGGGTTTCTAAGACCAAAAACTCTGTATAAAACATGTTGTCAATATCTTTGACAAAACAGAGATAAGAATATGATTTAAAGAGAGATTTTGGTTTCAGAAACCCACGGTCCGTTAAAATGTTAAGTATACAAGTTATAATTGTATCTAATTCATAATTTATATTGTTTAGGACAATGGCTGCCGTGCGGTACCGCTAAAGACTGTAAGGCGAACATAGCAGGCCTGCAGGAGGGCAAGCCATACAAGTTCCGCGTCAAGGCTGTCAATAAGGAGGGAGAGTCCGAGGAACTGGAGACTGAGAAACCAATCATCGCTAAGAATCCATACGGTATTTTTATAACATATTATATTAAACTAGCTGTCGCCCGTGACTCCGTCCGCGCGTAATTAAAAAAAAACTAGCCTAAGTGTTCTTCCGTGTTATGCTCTATGCAGCCATTCTGGAGATACTTTCAAACAAATATCCATCCAAACATTCGAATTTATAATAATAGTAAGATTGGTATGTTTTAATTTTACCCATTCAATAACTATCATTTTATCATTCAAATTGCAGACGAGCCCGGCAAGCCCGGCAGGCCGGAGCCCCGCAACTGGGATAAGGACTTTGTTGACCTCGAGTGGTCCCCGCCTAAGGAGGATGGCGGCGCCCCCATAACTGGATATATTATACAGAAACGTGAGAAGGGTGGAAGGTAAATAAGGAAATTAATTACATTTGGTAGTGCTATATACTTGACATTTTTTTTTCTTGAGCTGAAAAAAAAACAATTTTTACCAATTTATCGACAGTGAAAACTCCCTATATATAATGTAATATGGTTTTGTGAATAGAACATGGCAAGACTGTCTGAAGACAAGCGGGGAGCGTCCCACTGGCCGCGTGACTGACGTGGAAGAGGGCCATGAGTACCAGTTCCGTGTGATCGCTGTCAACAAGGCAGGTCCTGGAGAACCCTCGGAGCCCAGTCGATCTGTTATCGCCAAGCCGAGATTCTGTAAGTGTAACTTAGTTTCGTCATCAGCTCATACGTCCACACTGAGGGGCTCGGAGCATACCTTAAGTTTGAGGTGACTATGTACCTATGTGTGTAAATGGAAAAAAAAACATTGGTACATGGTGGGATTCGAACCCATGACATCCAGATTACAAGTCAAGTGCTTTAACCCCCGAGCTACCAATGCTCTATACCTTAGCCTATATATTCAAAACTAAATAATTACTGCCTTTCTTGGTAATTTACTTAAATTAAACAATATGTCGTCTTACAGTGGCACCTCAAATCGACCGCAAATACCTACAAAAACGTAAGATCAAGGTAGGCCAGACGCTCAAGATGGAAGCGGATGTCAAGGGTGAACCGGAACCCACCATCACATGGACCTTCAACGACCAGACTCTCAAGACCGAGGAGAGGTTGAAGATAGAGAACAAAGACTATCACACCTCGTTCTCATTACTGAAGGTGACCAGAGCTGATAGTGGCAAATACACAGTCACAGCCAAGAACGACTCTGGAACTGATACGGTGGACATCGAAGTGTCCGTTGTTAGCAAACCAGCTAAACCTAAAGGACCATTGCAAGTAAGATCATACGACAAGGTTTCTCATAAAGTCCAAGACCATTCGGTCAGATTGAAAACCATTTCAATGTTATTTGTCTTGTTTCAGGTGTCTGATGTCAAAGCAGACGGCTGCAAACTCAAATGGGAACCTCCAGAGGACGACGGCGGCGAGCCTGTCGAGAGCTACGTTGTTGAACGTATGGATACCGACTCTGGTAGATGGGTGCCCGTCTGCACCACAAAGACCCCAGAGGCTGACGTCACTGGACTCAATGAGGGCAAGGACTACATGTTCAGGGTGAAAGCTGTCAACCCTGAGGGAGAGAGCGAGCCGCTCGTCACTGAGACTGCTACTACAGCTAAGAATCCTTATGGTAAGGGAATAGTGAAACAATCAGAAACGTTAAATAAACTTTAATGACCATTCTTTCAATTTTGTATGTAATATCTTCACTAAGAAGAATAAATCTCTGCTTAAGTAGCAGAATTTAACCAATGTTTTTGTTCGTTATCAGGTGAACCTGATGCACCTGGTAAACCAGAATTCAAGGACTGGGACAAACAACACGTGGACCTCAAATGGGAGAAGCCTGCTAACGACGGTGGCGCCCCCATCACAGCATACATCGTGGAGAAGAAAGACCGCGATACTGGCAAATGGGTGAAAGCTGTTGAGGTAACATTTGTTATCATTTAAAACAACTAATACACAAAATTACGTAACCAGTGACGTCATAGCCTCATACAACCAGATAAACAATGCCTTATTTCCTAAAACTTGTTTCTATATAGAAAAAAAATCTTTGGAATGTCTGTATGAACGCATTTGGACACGTACGTACAAGTACGGGCACGTACACGTATACGCATTGTATGTTTTTATGAATTCTCAGGTCCCAGGACACAAGACAGAAGCTCGTGTTCCAGATCTGATAGAAGGCAAGACATACCAGTTCCGTGTGAAGGCGGTGAACAAGGCCGGCCCCGGCAAACCATCACAAGCCACAGATAATCTCTTGGCTAAGGATAGATTTGGTGAGTTATTTCTTTTATCACCTCATTTGTGAACTATAAAGCTTTGTACCAGCAATCATTTGTCTTCTTTTGATTTTAAACATCCTAATATAATGTATATGTGATTATTTTCAGCTCCGCCTAAGATCGACCGCACGAATATGCGCGACATTACTATCAAGGCGGGTCAGATGATCCGACTAGATGTTAAAGTCAGCGGTGAGCCTCCACCGACCAAGACCTGGTGAGCATTATAACAAATATTAGCTTTCGCGCTGACTCCGTCTGCGTAGAATTTAAAAAAAACTTATTAGCTTATGTTCTTCCACACTATGTCTACCTCTAAAAAAAACAGCGAGATCCATGTAGCCGGGAGATACCGTCTAATAAACAATTACTTTAATAATATTACAGTAAGATTTAAGTTTTATTTTAAACAAAAAGATGGCGTTACGGACGCTATTCAAAGATTTTTTTAAAAAAAAGAATATTTTACTAATGGAATCGATTTTTTATATTATAGGGACAGCTACTTGCATGAAGATTGAAACTTACCTATTACCATGTAATTTCAGGTTCCAGAACAAGGAGAGGTTGTCGTCACGCGACGACCTGTCCATAGACTCTGAGGAGTATCGCATCAAGTTGTCTGTGGTGGTCGCGTCACGCAAACACAGCGGCACCTACGTCCTCAAAGCTGAGAACAGCAGCGGACGGGATGAAGCCTCTATTGAAGTTAAAGTCCTGGACGTGCCTGCTAAACCTGAGGGACCACTTAAGGTAGGTTTTATCTTTAAATAAAAGATACAGTTGTGTAATTATGAATAGATTATTGGTGATATAATTAGATGCAATATCTGTAATAATTGTACCTAACTTTTAGGGTCACATTATTTATTAAAGAAAGGCGGTACATAACTTATTTATTTAAGTGCAAATATACTTATATATCCTCTTTAGTTAAATATTTATACTCTACAAGTTAAAATAGACGAAATGTTTGTTCGTAGATTTCCGACGTGCACAAAGAAGGTTGCACGCTGAAATGGAACGCGCCATTGGACGACGGTGGCGCCCCCATCGATCACTACTTGGTGGAGAAACTGGACACGGAGACTGGTCGCTGGGTGCCCGCACTCAAAACCAAGGAGCCCAAGGCTGAAGTGGAGAATCTGGTGCCAGGACACGAGTACAAGTTTAGAGTGTCCGCTGTCAACAATGAAGGTGTTTCTGAACCACTGGAGGGCGATCATTCGATTATCGCTAAGAATCCGTTCGGTAAGTTTAAATAATTAAATTAAAAGAATTCTCGTTTATAGCTCTTATAATATGTTTTATATAGAAGAGAGACGATGGCGAGGGAAATATAGATGGCATTTTTAAACATTTTGAATTAGTTTTTGCAAACAACTTTAAGTATATAAATACAGTGGATTTTTAGCTCACCAATTATGTATTTATTAACCGATTATGAATTCTAAATGTTTTATCTCTCTTCTTCAGACGAGCCCGGTAAACCTGGTACACCCGAGGTGGTGGACTGGGACAAAGACCACGTGGACCTTAAGTGGCAGAAGCCTATCAAGGACGGTGGCGCCCCCATCACTGGATATATTATCGAGAAGAGAGAAGTCGGCTCGCCCAAGTGGGTGAAAGCCTGCGAGGTAAGATTTTACTTGCGATCGCCCTTGACTTCACTATCGAAAAATTAAAAAAAAAGTAGTATGCCGGCTTGCTTTAGCTACCTTTCCGTCCAAGTCCCATCAATATCTGTCCAGCTGTTCCGGAGATTACCTGGAACTAACGCGGTCTTGCGAACAGACATACAAACAAACAAACAAAAATTTTCTCAATACAGACACCCCAATTTTATTATTAAACAATATAGAATCTTATTAAACAGCTATATAATCATTAGAAGTATAAATGTCAAAAAACTTATTGGGAAGTTTTTTTAAAGCAATAATTTTGATGGTTTTCGCCATTATTTCCAGGTTGGGCCCAATGACAACGAGAAAGCCACAGTACCGAATCTAGACGAGGGTGTGGAGTACGAATTCAGAGTGAAGGCGGTGAACGAGGCCGGACCTGGCGAGCCTAGCGATGCCAGCAAGTCCGTCACATGCAAACCTAGGCGACGTGAGTATTGTGATATTTTTCGATATTTTTTTATTATAATTAAAAATATAAAAAAAGATGATTCATCAAATGTTATTTTTGTTTTCTTTTGTCTATGTAAAAATATTTAAAGACTAGCGGTGGCCGAGACTCCGTCCGCGCGAAATAAGAAGTTAATAAGTAGCCTATCAGTTCTTCCAGACTATATTCTATCTGCGAGAGATACCTTCAATCAAACATCCATCCATCCATCTAAACATTCCAATTATAATATTAGTAAGATTAAGGACTTTTCTTGTTGATGGAAGCAAATTTTATTTCTCAAACATTGTTGAACGAAATATAACATTTAATTGTATTATTCCAGTGGCACCAAAGATAGATCGTCGCAATCTGCGTCCCATCAAGGTGCGTGAGGGCGAGCCCATCTCGCTAGACGTGAAGGTAACAGGAGAACCAGCGCCTGACGTCACCTGGACACTCAACGGCAAGTCTGTTACCTCCGGTAACGGACTTAAGTGTACGTATTTTATACAGCTATTAAAAATACTTTACAAACTGCTTTGATAATGGATTCTAGAAATTACGTTGATAAGCAAACGGATAAGTTTATCTAATTACTTTTTAAAATCTTTAGCTTCATGTATGTATGGGTTTCAAAAAAATAAAATGATAGATAATTTAGCTTTTTGAATTGTTTGTAATAGGAATATGTCATACTAAACCTAAAATTGTATCACTACAGTGACTTTCCAAGCTATATATAAACATATGTTTGTCTTTGTATAGTGGTGAATGTACCATACCTGAGCAAGTACCAGCACGCTAGTCCGCGCCGCAAGGACTCCGGCACCTACAAAATACAGGCCATCAACAAGTACGGACAGGATACTGCTGAGCTGGAGATCACTGTCACTTGTGAGTTACTTTTATTACAACACTTGTGATGCTGACTGTACTTATATTTGGTAACCATATTTAAATATGTACGGAGGATTCTAGCTACTTCATTTTGAGTTGTATTAAGCAATTGTATAACTCTACTCAAATATCTTGCCGGCCCAAAGCCATCGGTGTCCTGAGCAGTGGCTCCCATCTCGATACACCAAATATTGTGTTCTGCGCAGACTTACGCGAACTTAAGGGTTCTTAATAAAAACGCTCGACAGTCGCGTTAGAGCAAGACAAACATATGTGTTTCAATTCAATTCAATTAACCTTAAGAGCGGCCAAGATATCTGAAAACATTTATACTCTGTTCGAAAATGAAAATTTTGATTCTATAACTCAAATGTAATTAGTTAGTGATCTTGGTATTAAATATAAAAAAATACTTTTAAAATTTCTAGCGAAACCGGACAAACCTGAAGGTCCATTGGAAGTGTCTGATGTACACAAGGATGGCTGCACTCTGAAATGGAAACGACCCAAGGACGACGGCGGTGAGCCTATTGAAAGCTACGTGGTGGAGAAGTACGACACAGAGACAGGAACATGGATGCCTGTTGGCAAGACCCTTGGCAACGTGCCTGAGATGGAGGTATGCAAAACAAATAATTAGGGTTTTATTTGTACAGACCGACTAAGTTAATTCCCGTTGAGTGATCCAATACATAGAAACCACCGGTCCAATGGTAAAATAGATCCATTGGGTTGTTTGAAATTTGAAATAATGTACTGTTTTCTACAAAGTAATTTTTTTAGACCTATAATTATGTATTCCTGATAAATTTTTGTTTCACGAATTAGAAGTAAACAAATATTTATTATGTTTCTAGGTGGATGGTTTGATCCCCGGCCACGAGTACAAGTTCCGCGTGAAGGCTGTCAACAAGGAGGGAGAGTCGGAGCCGTTAGAAACATTCGGCGCTATTGTCGCCAAGGATCCATTCAGTAAGATGCTAAAATTATATAACTGTGGCACGTGACTCCATCCGAGCAGAATTAAAAAAAAAACTTCATTAGTAGCCTATGTATTCCTCCAGGCTATGTTCTACATCGATGCCAAATTTTTGATCAAGATCCATCCAGCATTTCTGGTTATACCTTCTAATATCCATCCATCCATCATAATAAAAATTGTTTTGACTTGATATTACATATGCTAGAAAAGAAATGAAAAATAGTGCTAAGACAAAAGACAATACAAACCAAAAAGTTTATAATTATACTTACAAGACATTTTCTTCTTTCCAGCTGTACCAGACGCTCCATCAACACCAGTACCTGATGACTGGTCTGCCAACCACGTGGACCTGAAGTGGGAGGCGCCGATATCTGACGGCGGGTCCCCCATCATTGGATATATTATTGAGAAGAAGGACAAGTACAGTCCATTGTGGGAGAAGGCTCTGGAGACTCACACGCCGACTCCAAGTGCTACTATCAATGGGTAAGAAATTCATAAATGTTTGTGTAAATCGTATGAAAAGTTTTTTAGTCTGACGACTATAATAGTATTGACACTTGATTAGATTCAATTTCATTTAAATTGTATGACAGCAAACTTACTATTTAAAATTGCTAAAGCTGGTTAAATTAGGAAAACGAGTCTTTTCTAGAATAGGTGTTAGTATTGTTTCTTGATGTTTTACCGTCACTTCCAATGCTTAATTTGTAGCCTATGTGTTCTTCCACATTATGTTTTACATCTGTGCCAAATTTCATGAAGATCCGTTAAGCCCTTCTGGAGATACCTAACAACAAATCTATTACACCCTAAGACAACATAAAGACTGACGATGCATACAAATTACTTATAATAGTAAAATTTTCTTGCAGTCTGATAGAAGGCAACGAGTACCAGTTCCGCGTGATAGCTGTGAACAAGGCGGGTCAGAGTAAGCCGTCTGAAGGCAGCAAGACGTTCGTGGCTAAGCCTCGCTTCCTCGCGCCAAAGATCGACCGTCGTCATCTGCGTGATGTGACTCTCTCCGCCGGCGCCACGCTCAAGTTTGAAGCCGCCATTACCGGCGAGCCCGCGCCCGCTGTCGAATGGAGGTATAGTTATATTCTGATATCTTGCCGGCTTTGAAGTTCGAGTAAGTCGCCGTGCTGAATACATTGTTAGGTGTGGCGCGCAGTGTCCTTGAGCCGCCAAGATATTTGAAAAGAATTATACGTATTGCTAACAGTTATTGAAATCATATACTACATTTTGTAAAAAAACAGTATATCTTTGTATCTACAAATCACAAATTTGTGCTTAACGAATATTATGAAAAATCCTATTTACGTATTAACTAAATACTCAGGGGCGCACTGAAATTATTAAATGTACACTGAGTCACTTATACTTGAAACTGAGTGTTAAATTAAAAAACAGTCTGTTTAATCGTTGGTTTCTGAAACCTAAATCCCTGTATATAACATGCTGTCCCTCTCATTATTTTTGACAAAACATACATAACACTATATTTTGTACGGGAAATTTAGCCTCAGAAACCAACAGTAATAAGCATTACTAATAAAAATATGTGTAGGTAAAGAGAGGTTAAACTGTATCACAAAAAAATCCATATCAGCCTATTTTTTATCTTTTTTCGACAGATATCAGAACATGCCTCTCCGTCCATCAAAGGCGGTGACAATCGACTCTCCTGACTACTTCACCAAGCTGGTGGTCCGTCCAGTGCGACGTGACGACTCCGGCGAGTACACTGTCACAGCTGTCAACTCCAGCGGCAAGGATACTGTCACTATCAACGTGCTCGTCACTGATAAACCCACTAAGCCTGAAGGACCTCTACAAGTGAGTTTTTAAACCTGCAAATTGTATTTTTTAAGTATAAATAATAATTTTATTCGTTGTCTACATCAAACTGTTTTCAGTTTTTTTTTTATAACTAGCAGTTGCCTGTTGTCCGTCGGAATTAAAAAAAATAGATAAAGACCTAATGCAGTTTTAAATATTTTTGTAAAAGTTTTCAACGCTTTATATGTTTAACTAGCTGTCGCCCGTGGCTCTGTCCGCGCGGAATTAACAATAAACTTAATAAGTAGTCTATGTGTTTTCCAGACTATGTTCTACATTTATGCCAAATTTCAGCGAGATCCATTCAGTCGTTCTGGAGATCCCTTCATACATCCATTGATCTAAACATTCACATTTATAATATAAGTAAGATTTATTAACTTAACATCAACTTATTTTGCACAGATCTCAGACGTACACAAAGAAGGTGCGACATTGAAATGGAAGCGGCCAAAGGACGACGGAGGTGCGCCCATAGAGTACTACCAAGTGGATAAACTGGACACGGAGACTGGCTGCTGGGTGCCTTGTGCACGCTCTGAGGAGCCAAGTGAGTACAGCTATACTATGTTTATTAACACTAAATTTGCTCCAAGGTTTCACACAACGCAACACCGGTGTGTTTCAAGGTCACATAGTATTTTGTGTTAGGACAATATTCAATATAGTAAAAATATGAAAAATCTTGTGAAAGGGTTAATTTTATTTTTAAAACAAACTTTTTTTTAACTAAAAATTGCATAATAATGGTCGTTATGGAAGAGATTTTATGTCATAATTTAGGCGTTCTATTTAAAACAGTCCACAATTAGGCAATATGTTTTATATTTAACTAATTTGTTTGTTTGTAAATCAGAATGTGAAGTGACTGGTCTGACGCCGGGCAAGGAATACAAGTTCCGCGTGTCGGCTGTCAACTCGGAGGGCGAGTCGGAGCCTCTAGTCTCCGAGACTAGTATCGTCGCCAAGAATCCCTTTGATGAACCTGGTAAGATCTTCATACACGTTACATACGCTAATTAGCAAAAATGTATAAAGTTATTTGCAATTAAGAGAAACCAAAGAAATATTTACAAAACGACTAGCCGCCATTATATCCGAGACTAACTAAAAAAAACTTAATAAATAGCCTTTGTGTTAGCCGTATTATTTACAGCGCCATCTATTGTAAGGTAATAAATCTTAATTTAATTTTATCATTTCCAGGAGCGCCAGGCACGCCTTCGGTGACGGATTGGGACAAGGACCACGTGGACCTCAAGTGGACCCCGCCTAAGGAAGACGGTGGTGCCCCCATCGAAGGTTACATTGTGGAGAAGAAGGACAAGTTCGGCAACTGGGAGAAAGCTCTCGAAGTGCCGGCTGACAAGACCACTGCGACAGTACCTGACCTTGTTGAAGGTCAGACGTATGAGTTCAGGTTTGTTTGACATTTTGTTATTGATACTTATTAATAGATTTTTCATATAGATGTTTGGAAAGAGATAGAATTATTAACTTTGTAGAGCGTTATTTCTATCGCACTGTAATAATTATTAATGCTTTAGGGACTGTGTTTAGTATTTTGCGTGAATTGTATATTGAAAAATATTTTTACCGTTGGTTTCTAAGACCAAAATCGTTGACAAAACAGAGATGACAGTATGTTTTAAATTTTGTCTCAGAAACCTACGGTTAGTTCCACATGTTCAGTAGGACAGTTCTCTTATGTTTGTCATAATTGTATGTGCAGAGTGCGAGCTGTGAACAAAGCTGGTCCGGGCGAGCCCAGTGACAGTACACATCCTATCGTGGCCAAGCCTCGCAACATGGCGCCCAAGATTGACAGGACTAACCTCATTGATATCAAGATTAAAGTCGGGCAGAAGTTTGCCTTCGACGTCAAGGTCAGTTACGACATAGTCAAATAAAGATATCTGAGCCAGAGCGAGGTAATGCTATCGCGCTTAGCAAATATGTAAATGTAGTACGAAAAGGATGTTTGATGTTGAGAAAGGGGCGCTACTGTGCTGTCATAATTTAGTTTGACTGATGTTCACCGGAATAAATATCCTTGAACTATACCTAATTTTAAACGGAGTTAGTTATGTAATTTTGTAAACGAACTGTAAAACTTCTATACATTGCTGTGGTCGCAAGTTAATTTACATTCCAGTAAAAGTTCCCTTTAAATGGGTCCAGCCATTTCGGAGATTACTCTAACAAACGCACAGACACACGGGTAATTTAAAAAAAAAGATTGTTAATGAGATTATTAAAAAATGCATGGAAATACAAACATTTTTTTTTATGAAACAAAAGATTGTATGAGGCTATAAATAACAAATATTTCAAATTCATTGCAGGTTTCCGGTGAACCGATGCCGGAGACGAAATGGTTCTTAGCCAAGAAGGAGGTGAAGTCGTACGGTGACATGAAGGTGCAGCATTCAGACTATAACACGAAGCTGACGTGCAAGGCTGCCACGAGGTCTGACAGCGGCCGGTACACCATCACCGCAGAGAATGTCAACGGTAAAGATGTCGCTGAAGTCGAGGTGATCGTGCTCAGCGTGCCCAGTCCACCTGGAGGACCACTTAAGGTTGGTACTTCAGTGCTACGATTAAGTTAATTTTAAGCGCAATTATTACATACCGCTGTACTCAGATTCATTAAGATTTGTCATACATACATTAGGCTTTTGAACTGATTATTTACACTTTTTGTGTCCAGGTATCAGACGTGCACGCTAACGGTGCTAAGTTGTCATGGAATCCGCCAGCGGATGACGGTGGTCAACCCATAGAGAAGTACGTTGTTGAGCGCATGGATGAAGCTACGGGCCGCTGGGTACAGGCCGGAGAGACCCTCGGCCCCGAGACCAGCCTGCCAGTAGACGGCCTGCAGCCAGGACACAAGTACAAGTTCAGGGTGCGCGCTGTTAACAGGTAACTTTCTCTTCTATTTTTTATGTTAGTTGCAGCGCCATCTTTGCTACCTTTCCATACTATTAAAATATTTTTTTATTCAGACAAGGCAAATCGGAACCTCTGACGACACCTCACGCTACTGAAGCTAAGAATCCATTCGACGTTGCCGGCAAGCCCGGCACGCCTAAGATCAAGGACTTCGACAAGGACTTTGTGGAGCTGGAATGGACCCGCCCAGAGACCGACGGTGGCGCCCCCATCACGGGTTACGTCATCGAGAAGAAGGATCGCTTCTCACCCGACTGGGAGGAGTGTGCTCAGGTATACTACATTTATATTAAAAACCATTGAACAATTTTGTATCTAGTTTTTACATTGATAGTAAACACTTTAACTTTTTATTTAAAGGAAATTTAACTCTCTATTTTCTTTTCAGATCGAGGGTGATGTAACTTCTGGTAAAGTTCCGGACCTCATCGAAGGCAATACATACGAGTTCCGCGTACGAGCGGTCAACAAGGCCGGCAAGGGCGTGCCCAGCGACGGAACAGCGCCGCATCTCGCCAGGCCTAAGAACTTACCACCCAAAATTGACAGAAACTTCATGTTTGACATTAAGATCAAAGTCGGACAGAACTTCGATCTTGAAGTGCCCGTGGCGGGAGAACCAACGCCCACCAAGGAATGGCTGCACGGTGACAACGTCGTTCTCAACACTGACAGGATCAAGATTGTCAATGACGCTCACACCACCAAGTTCCGTGTCATCGACGCTAAGAGAGCAGATTCTGGAACCTACACTCTCAAAGCCAAAAATATTAATGGCACTGATTCTGCTACTGTTAAAGTTTTAGTAATGGACGTGCCGACTGCACCCGAGGGACCGCTTCGTGTAGACGATATTACGAAGTCTGGCTGCTCGCTGCGCTGGCGGCCACCTAAGGACGACGGTGGCTGTGAGATCACACACTATGTTGTTGAAAAAATGGACCAAGAAAACCTCCGCTGGGTTCCCGCTGGAGAAGTGCAAGGTTGCCACATGCGTATTGATCATCTGATTGAAGGACACGACTACAACTTCCGCGTCCGCGCCGTCAACAAACAAGGCGAGTCGCAGCCGCTCGTAGGCCACGAACCTATCACCGCCAAGGATCCGTACGGAACACCAGACAAACCTGGCATTCCGGTCGTCAAGGACTGGGACAAAGATCACATGGACTTGGAATGGGTCCCACCCAAGAAAGATGGCGGCACTCCAATTACAGGATACATTATCGAGGCCAAGAAGAAGTACGGACCTTGGGAAGTCGCAGCCACTGTACCAGGAAACCAAACCACAGCTACGGTTCCAGGATTGCAAGAAGGAGAGGAGTACGAATTCAGAGTCATCGCTGTTAACAAAGCGGGCAACGGTGAACCTAGCGACGCGTCCACTCCGCAAGTCGCTAAAGCCAGGTTCTGTGCTCCACATTTCGACAAGATGCTGCTCGCTGACAAGACCGTCAAGGCTGGACAGCGCATACAGTACGAGATACCGATCGAAGCCTCACCCAAGCCGACTGTCGAATGGCAGGTCAACGGAAAAGTTGTTCAGCCATCAGATAGGATTGATATTCAAATTTTGCACAACAGGGTTATCTTAGACATTCCATTCTCCGTTCGCTCCGACGGCGGAGTTTACAAATTGACATTGAAGAATGATCTTGGAGTATGTTCAGCGTCGGCTCAAGTCACAGTTCTAGACAAACCGTCCAGACCGGAGAAGCCGCTCGTGGTCTCCGATGTTACAAAGGATTCCTGCTCGCTGTCATGGAAGGTCCCGCTCGACGACGGTGGATCACCCATCTTGCATTACGTAATCGAGAAAATGGACTTATCTCGCGGCACGTGGTCAGATGCTGGCATGAGCACCTTCCTTTCCCACCAAGTGACAAGATTAATACACATGAAGGAATATCTGTTTAGAGTAAGCGCAGTAAATGCTATCGGTCAATCTGAACCACTCGAATTGGACCGCGCTATTGTTGCGAAGAACGAATTCGACGAACCTTCCGCTCCTGGCAAACCTGTAGCAACAGACTGGAGCAAGGATCACGTCGATTTGGAATGGGCCGCTCCCAAATCAGACGGCGGTGCACCCATTACCGGATACATTGTACAAAAGAAGGAAAAGGGCAGCCCCTACTGGGTAAATGCTGTCCATGTGCCTCCTAAACAGACTAAGGCCACTGTGCCAGATCTAATAGAAGGTCAAGACTATGAATTCAGAATTATTGCCGTCAACCAAGCTGGACAGTCCGAACCTAGTGAACCTTCCGATATTATCACTGCCAAGGACAGATTTGTCGCACCTAAAATCATCACACCACTTAAGGAGGTTCGCATCAAGGCTGGGCTTATTTTCCACGTGGACGTGGACTTCATCGGAGAGCCTACGCCAGACGTCAAATGGACTTGCGACGGTAGAACTGTGGTAACTAACGAAAGAACTACTGTTACCTCGGTGGGACACCACACTATTATTCATACTGTAAACTGCAAGCGATCAGATGCTGGCAAATACAACTTATTCTTGAAGAATGACTCTGGAACTGACGAGGGCAGCTTTGAACTGATCGTTTTGGACGTACCTGGAGCACCTCAGCCTCCATTTGAGTACGAGGAAATCACTGCACAATCTGTTACTTTATCGTGGAAGCCACCTAAGGACAATGGCGGCAGTGAACTTACCGCTTACGTTATTGAAAAACGTGATCTCACTCATGGTGGCGGCTGGGTTCCGGCTGTTACTTACATCAACCCTAAAAATACACATGCAACTGTTCCTCGATTGTCCGAGGGCACCAAGTACGAATTCAGAGTATTTGCAGAGAACTTGCAGGGTCGTTCTGAGCCTCTTGTGACCGACAAACCTGTTGTTGCCAAGAACCAATATACCGTGCCTGGCAAACCAGGAAAACCAGAGCTCGTTTCCGCGGATAAAGACCATATTAAGATCAAATGGTCTTCGCCTATATCGAACGGTGGCTCTAACATTCTGGGCTACGACGTCGAAAGAAGGGACAAAGCTACAGGCAGATGGATCAAGCTCAACAAGGAACCTGTTAGGTTCAACGAGTATGAGGACGACAGGGTTCAAGAAGGTCACCAATACGAATATAGAGTATCTGCTGTCAACGCAGCCGGACCTGGCCAGCCTTCTGAGCCATCCAATGTTATCATTGCTAAGCCAATGAAAGAGAAACCTAAACTGTCTCTCGACCACCTCATCGGTCGTAAGATCAAGGTCCGCGCTGGTGAACCGATCAATATTAACATTCCAATCGCCGGTGCACCGACACCGAAGGTTACCTGGACAAAGGGTGCCATCCCGCTCGTTCCTTCACACAGACTGTCCGCTGAGACGAGTCCCGATGAGACCAAGCTCAGCATCGAGAAGTCCACTAGAGACGATGCTGGCAAATATACTATCACTGCAACTAATGAATATGGCAAAGACTCTGCTGACATTGAGGTTATTGTCGTCGACAAACCTGGTGTACCTAAAGGACCGTTATCGTGCACACCTGTTACTCACGAGACCATGAGTCTGACGTGGTTACCACCCACAGATGACGGCGGCAGTGAAATCACTGGCTACGTCGTCGAGGTCGCCGAATTCGGTGTCAACGACTGGCGCACTGTCGCAGGTTTCTGTCCAAAGTGCTCGTTTACTGTTAAGAACCTAACAGAGGGTAAGAAATACGTCTTTAGAGTACGAGCTGAGAACTTGTACGGACTCTCCGATCCGCTGGAGAGCAAGCCGATTATCGCCAAACTACCTTTCGATCCACCAGATGCGCCAGACACGCCTAAGATCACTGGCTACAGTGCAAACAGCTGCTCTCTCGAATGGCAGCCGCCGACCAACACCGGCGGAAAGCCTATTACCGGTTACAACGTCGAGAAGAGAGAACGTGGTGGTGAATGGATAAAGGTTAACAACTATCCTACACCCAACACGTGCTACACCGTTCAAGACTTACGTGAGGGTAATCGCTACGAGTTCCGTGTTATCGCAGTCAACGAAGCCGGTCCTGGCAAACCCAGCAAACCGACAGAACCTATTATTGCACAAACTCAGAGGCTTAAGCCCAGCGCTCCCGAGGCGCCTAAACCAGACAGAATCACTAAAGATTCGGTTACGCTCTCGTGGAGACCGCCGAAGAGCGACGGCGGAGCAAAGATTAAGGGCTATATCATCCAACAGAAGGCCAAGGGAGACAAAGACTGGAAGGATGTTAACGACACACCTATCCCGAGCCTCGTTCACACGGTACCAAAACTCAAGGAAGGTGAAGAGTACCAGTTCAGAGTTATCGCCGTTAATGAAGTCGGCAATTCGGAGCCTAGCAAACCGACTGCCGATATTACGATTGCCGAACAACCGAACAAACCTTGCATGGATCTCGGCGGAGTGCGCGACATCACAGTGCGCGCGGGTGAAGATTTCTCTATTCACGTGCCGTACACCGGCTTCCCGCAACCGACCGCATCCTGGTTCGCCGACGATAACCTCCTCGACGTCGACGGCGATTCGAGAATATTCCAGAAGATCACACCGGACTCCGCTTCACTCGTGGTTAAGAACGCCAAGAGATCAGACGGAGGCCAGTATAGATTACAACTCCGCAACCCATCCGGATACGACACGGCCACCATTAACGTGCGCGTGCTCGACAGACCCGGTAAACCTGAAAACCTTCGCGCCGACGAATTCGAGGGCGAAGCGCTCACGCTCTACTGGAACCCGCCCAAAGACAATGGAGGTGGAGAGATCACAAACTACGCTGTGGAAAAACGCGAAGCACGTTCACCAACTTGGACCAAGGTGTCCGGATACGTCACGACACCGTTCCTCCGCGTGAAGAACTTGACCGTCGGCAGGGACTACGAGTTCAGGGTCATGGCTGAAAACCAATACGGCCAATCTGATCCTGCGCAGACGACCGAACCGATCAAGGCCAGGCATCCGTTCGACCCGCCGGGCCCGCCCGGCGTGCCGCGATCCGTCGAGACCACGGAGACGTCGATTACGGTCACTTGGTCCAAGCCGCGCAACGACGGCGGCTCCCCGATCACTGGCTACATCCTCGAGAAGAGGCTCATCACCGAAGACAAGTGGACGAAGGCGTGCCACGCTCACATTCCAGACACGACGTACCGGGTGACCGGACTGATCGAGAACCACGAGTACGAGTTCCGCGTGTGCGCTGTGAACGCGGCCGGACAGGGGCCATACTCGCAGAGTTCGGACGCGATCCGCGCCTGCGCCCCGCCTAACTGCCCGCGCATCACCAGCGACCTCAGCCTGCGCGACATCACCGTCATCGCCGGCGAGGAGATCAAGATCACCGTGCCCTTCACCGGCAACCCGAGACCAAAGGTAAGTCACACAATACAATGTAATTCCCAATTCTAGTGAACATTTAAAGTTTTAAATACTTACCACAGATAACTTTTTGTTGCAATTGCTAGTTCCTATATACAATTTTCTCTGCTCTATTACTAGGTGTCATGGATCGTGAACAACGACGAAGTGTTCCCGGACAACCGCATCCGCTTCGTGACTTCAGACCGCGACACAGTATTCCTTAACAGCAGCGCCAAGCGTTCCGATACCGGCTCCTACACCGTGCAGCTAGTCAACAGCGAGGGCTCCGACAGTGGCACCTGCAGGGTAAGTCCCTAAAATAAGTATATTTTAGTCAAAGTAAAATTGAAACATGTTGAATTGATGAAAGAAATGATTACAGTGCTGAGATAAAAGTATTTCTTCCTTATGCTAAGTGTAGCTTTATCAAATTACATTGTTGCACAGGTGCTTGTTGTAGACAAGCCATCACCACCAGTGGGTCCATTGGATTGTTCGGACATAACGCCCGACACATGCACCTTGTCATGGAAACCACCGCTAGATGACGGCGGCTCGCCCATCACCAACTACATTGTCGAGAAGTTGGACAACACTGGTGTAAGCAATTATAGATAACTAGCTGTCGCCCGCAACTCCGTCCACTTGGTATTAAAAAAACATAATATATGTCAAATTTCAAACATTCATCCATCCATCCATTCAAACATTCGCATTAATAATATTAGTGTATTAAATGGGTTTCTACTGCCAAAAACTTTGTCTCTCTGGTATTTCAAAAAGAATGAAAGAGATGGTGATATATATTTGTTGTTGTTATGTTTCGGCAGTTTATCTTAACTTTATGAATTACATTTTTACATGTATTTTAATGTACAGGTATGGTCGAAGATATCGTCATTTGTACGCAACTGTCATTACAATGTCATGGGATTGGAACCGAATAAAAGATACACGTTCCGTGTTCGTGCTGAGAACCAATATGGCGTGTCCGAACCTCTGACTATGGACGACTCGATTACCGCCAAGGTTGGTAATACTTTGATGAAATATTTGACATGATAACTTTCTTTTTCTTTAAACTAGTACAACTGTTACTTGCAAATTGGTTAAAACGAATCAAATTCCGTTTGCCAGTCGTCAAATGTCCTTTATCCTTTATGCGTTGCCTTAGTATTTTACTCTGATATTTTCTATTCAATGAATTCGTTCGTCTAATATATATCTCTGTGTAGTACTCGTTCACTGTACCGGACGCGCCGGGCATGCCGCGCGTACTGGACTGGGACGGCTCAACGGCCACTGTAACATGGGACCGACCACGCTCCGACGGCGGAGCTCGCATACAAGGCTACAAGGTCGAGTTCAGAGATGTCCAGGACAGTGTCTGGTCAAGTGCTGATTACCTTGTCAAGGAATGTAATTACCAGGTCAGTGGATTTCAGATGATATGAATATTGGATTTGTTTTAAAATTGTCTCGACACTTAATAAATTAAATAAAATGTAAACAAACCACAAAATTGGTTACATTAGTTAAGGAAACATTGTGGTATAAAAACAATGTTTTACTGAACTTTAGTAAATTTTAATACTTGAATGTTATTACGTAGGCTTATAACTTGGAACCTGGACACGAATACGAGTTCCGTGTGCGCGCTAAGAACGCTGCGGGTCTGAGCAAGCACTCTGCGAGCTCGGCTCCGTTCCGCGTGCGTGCGCGCGCCGCCCCGCCCTCCGCGCCGCAGAGCCCGCGCGTGCTGCGTGTCGGCCGCAACTACGTCGACCTCGTGTGGCAACCACCGGCTAATGACGGAGGTAATAACTAACTACACTAGTCTACATCACTGCTTAAACTCAAAGAGATAAGACGACTTTATTATCGGAATTAAAGAATCTACTAGTCAGGTTCTATGTTTGAAACCCACTTACAAGTTTTTCCTTTCGATTAAAAATTCTTCTCACTAGGTGCGGAGTTATCCTTGGAGTTAAGTCCTTCTTATTGAAGTCAGCGAAAAATATCTAAATTACTAAAATACAAAAGTTCATATTTCTAAATAATCTTCATAGCAAGATGATTCATTGTTGAATATCTATAAAGATGAGTTCGTGCACGCACTGGGTGTGACGTCACTGTTTGTGGGCGTGGCAACACGTACATAATACGTATCTTGTTCCAGGTTCGCGTATAACTGGTTACATAATCGAGCGACGTGAAGTGAGCAGCTCTGTGTGGCTGAAGTGCAACGACTACAACGTGCAGGACACCAGCTACACCGCGCTGCAGCTGCACGAGCGCGCTGACTACGAGTTCCGTATCATTGCTGTCAATGCTGCAGGTGAGACAGCTAACTTGTCAAATTACTCAGCATATTGTATTGGTTTCAAGTAAACAGTATGCTCATTAGTATGTTTAACAGCACTCTATGTAGTTGGTGGATTTTAGTGTTCTTAGTAGACTTTATTTCTTCCAGGTATTGATATATTATGATTTCTATACTCTATTAATAAAATTATAAGCATTTTTCAATGCAATTGCACATAGTAAAGTTATGTACTGTGTTCAGGAAAATCTGAGCCATCAAGCTGCACCACACCAGTTCGTACCGGCGAGGAGGCGGGTGGCGTTAAACCGGAGTGGCTGAAACCGTTACCGGCCACACTGACAGCGCCACTGGGTCGTCCTTACACGCTGCAGTGCCAGGCTAGTGGGACGCCAGTGCCCACTGGACGCTGGCTCAAGAATGGACGCGAGATCGTACTCGGTGCTAGATATATTGCGGAGTCTCGTGAGGGCACGCTGAAACTGAACATCCTGGAGGTGGCGGATGGTGACGAGGGTGACTACACTTGTGAAGCTATCAACAGCCTTGGCTTTATCTACTGTATTGCACATCTTAAGATCGGAAGTAAGTGTCTTATTTTCTTTATCATTCATGTTGTTATCTATACATATTAATGAAATTGAGAGTCTGTATGTAATATTAAGAAAAAAAACAGCATTTTGCATACTAATGTATTTGCGTTGTTAGTAACGAAAAAACAATTTTTAACATCTTTATCTGTCTGTATGTTTGTCCGTGTTTGTTCCGGATAATCTTCGGAACGGCTGGACCGATTTGAACGGAACTTTGACGGGAATGTAGCTTTTTTAAGCTGGCAACCACTAGTCAAAAGTAAATGTAGAATGACTAAATAAATGAATGTTGCCAGGTCCGCCTCGCATCACTCGTATGCCTGGTGACCTCCACCTGCCGGAGCACGACAACACAAAGATTAAGATCCTGTACACTGGTGACCAGCCGGTCGACGTGACGTTGTCGCGTGACGGCCGCGTGCTCACCGAGACACCGCACTTCAAGTACACCGTCTTTGATGACTATATACTTATCTTTATCAAGGATATCACTAAAGATGATATGGGTAAGTTAAACTTTCACATATCTTATTTACTTACTGCTGTAAAATTGTGAACTTCTATGTTAAGTAAAATCATAGACTGATAAAGAAATTATTATAGTAAATTAAATATTTTAAATTCATTATCATTACTTTCACAATGGATATTTTCTTATTTTAAGGGTTCCGTACCTCGAATGGAAAAAAACGGAATCTTTATCAGATTACTTTGTTATCCGTTTGTCTGTCTGTCTGTCAAGACTTTTTTTTGTTGAAATACTGTCTACAATTTTAGCAAATCCAAAATATTTTTTTTTGTTTATTTTATATGACATTTGATTGTTATGAACACGTCAGTCCAATTTTTTAAAGAGTTCTTATATGTTACTCTTTCCAGGCACATACAAACTGACAATCAAGAACAACTCTGGAGAGACATCAGACACCTTCTCAGTGACGGTCACTGGATTACCAGGACCACCACAAGGTCCACTGGAAGTTAGTGACATAACGCGTCATACATGCACGTTGTCATGGAAACCGCCTGCTTATGACGGAGGGTTGCCAATCACGCATTACGTGGTTGAACGCATCGACGTGACGGGAACCACCTGGATAACCATAGCCTCGTCAGTACGTGACACCAAGTTTACAGTTCACGGTCTCACTGAAGGTCAAGAATATAACTTCAGGGTTCACGCCGCTAATGATAATGGAATTGGACCAGGATTGGAAGGTGTCAACCCTGTTAAGGTAATTTTTGTTCATAATATTTTTTGTTTGTCAAATGTGATTTTTTTTATTTTGTACAAATTTCGAAGGACCAAAAATTTTGAAGAAAATAATTATTTCCACACTTCTACAACATTAGAAATTGTTTTGTAACTTAGTTACTTCCTTAGTGTACACTATGAGTGCGGTAATTAAGTGTCGATATTAAATTGAATATAAGAAACATTTTATATTTACCAGGCTAAGGCACCATTTGATCCACCATCAGCACCGGGCGTGCCCAAGATTCTGGAAGTGGGCGGACACTTTGTACACCTTGAATGGGAGAAACCTGAAAGTGATGGCGGCGCTAGGATACAAGGTAAATGACGTAAAACAAGGTGTAAGCCGAAAAGGTTTAATATAATAACACTAGCATCGGTAATGTAGGGTAGACAGGATTTATAATATTTCTATACCACGATTTATTTATACCTTCTCTGTCTTTTTTCATATTACATTTAATTCTGAAAATTAGTTGATTTAAAGAATAACATATACGGTCGAACCTGGAGAAGCAAGTAAACTCTATAAGCGAGAGTTATTCTCTAGTTCTGACGTACGATCTCCAAAAGAGAGAAACATCTATAAGTAAGAAACGTTTTACGGTCCCTTGGACTCTTGCTTATCCAGGTTTGACTGTACTTCATTTTTACTACAATATCTACAAATACTTTAAATAATTATGATTACATTGGTTTTCCAGGTTACTGGGTAGACAAGCGCGAGGTTGGCTCTAGCAGCTGGCAGCGTGTGAATGCGACCCTGTGCCTGCCGACCCAGCTGAACTGCGCCAACCTGGTGGAGGGTCGTCAGTATGAGTTCCAGGTGACGGCACAGAATGAGGCCGGAGTATCGCCGCCCAGCACTGCATCGCAGCAAGTCAAGGTCGTCGATCCTAAGGGTGAGTTACACTGTGTTTGAAATTAGTGGATATCGTTTGGCGTAGCTTAAATGCAAAGTTTGGATGGATGGATGATTGTTAAGGAACCTTCCGAACGGGTCCACGGATCTTGATGAAATTTGCCATAGATGTAGAATATAATCTGGAAGAACACATAGGTTACTTAAGTTTTTTTTTCTTATTAAGAAAGCTAGTGTTTAAGAATAAAACTATTTTTAAAAGACAACTAAAAATATTGCTAAGATAAAGATAAAGTAATTTAGTAAATTGGAGAAAAGGTAATAAAAGGCACATTGGCAAATAAATCTCAATATTCAGAATGTTTATCAAATATTTCAGACTATGCGATTATTTATACTCTATTTTTGCAGCGGCTACGCCACCGGAGATCGTGAAACCTCTGAAGAACGCCAACTGTATACAGAACCACAACGCCAAGTTCCAGTGCACCATCACTGGATCACCCAAACCTACCATCACTTGGTATAAGGGTAAGTTTTATGTTACCAGTATAGTAGTATTCACATATCTTGGTGGCTCTTAAGTTCGTGCAGAACACAATGTTAGGTGTGTTGGGGTGCGAGGGGAGGGCACTGCAACATATTTGAAAAGAATTATAAATGTTATTCTTATGTATTCTTTAACAATTTATTACGTAGTTAATAATATTTTAATGTATGTGTTGTAGGTGCACGTGAGATAACAAATGGTCCTCGGTACCGCATCTGGAGCGAGGGAGACAACCACTTCCTGACTGTTGCTGATGTGTTCGGTGAGGACGCGGACGAGTACGTGTGCCGCGCTGTCAACCGCGCTGGAGTCAAGAGCACGCGCGCTGAGCTGCTCATTATGAGTGAGTCTTATTGTATATTCATAAGGTTCATTTTTGTTTGACTGTAATAGTGATAATCAGTCTTTACTTGCTCTACATAAGAAACCCTTAGTGTAGACTTAATATGTGACTACACTAGATAATTAATCCTTAAATGTGTCTAAGTTCGAGCAAGTACGCATCGTGACAATACGGTGCTAAATAAATTTTGGTATATCTCTTAAAATAAAATTAAAATTGGTGATATTTATATAATTTTAAACGGAATGCAAAATTCTATGAAAATCTTGGTAAAATCGTCTATTTTTATTCCCAGCTGCACCAAAACTGAACGTACCTCCTCGGTTCCGTGACACGGCGTACTTCGACAAGGGAGAAAACGTTGTGATCAAGATCCCCTTCACTGGCCATCCAGTGCCCAAGATCACGTGGGTGCGCGAAGGAGAGACCATCGAGTCTGGTCTGCACTACCATGTCGAGAGGAAAGGTGAGATTCTCAACATAGCTGTTTTAATTAGTCCACAATTATTCGATTAAAAAAAAATGAGGTGGAACTTATATGGAACAGCAATTGTGTTGAATGTCTGGTCATGAACCTCCTCCTACATCCTCAAATTTTGTTAATAGTTTCATTGTAACAATTCAAATTAAATTTTCAGAGCGCCACGCGATCTTAACCATCCGTGACGCCAGCAAGATGGACTCAGGTCCGTACAGGATCACCGCGGAGAATGAACTGGGACAGGACTCTGCAGTTATCAATATTGAAATCAGTGGTACGTTGATTTATACGTTTTAATCTACCTCTGTTCCTGTAAAAGAATCTAGGGTTTTCATTACCGTACACAAAATGAATGAATCATTCAAATTATTCACTCATTCGTTCATCAGACCGTCCGGACCCGCCGCGGTTCCCGGCCGTGGACAGCATCGGTGTGGACTCGCTGGCGGTCAGCTGGCGTGCACCTGTATGGGACGGCGGCTCTGACATCACCAGCTACCTGGTAGAGAAGAGGGAACATCCCATGACCAGCTGGATACGAGTTGGTACCACCAGGTCAGTATTCAGTCGAGTGTAGTTCTCGTGACTTAGTAACTTTGTTCACTGAGACATACTCTTAGTGTAGATTTCTCAGACATACAACAAAAAAACGATAATTTTTAAATATTGTTCGCTAAACAATTTTCTTTTACAGGTTCACGACCATGGCAGTGACAGGATTAGTTCCAGGCAAACAATACGAGTTCCGCGTGTACGCTGAGAACATCTACGGCCGCTCGGAGCCCAGCGAGCCTACCACACTCGTCCAGACCAAGGCTATCATCAAGAAGGAATTCAAGAAGAAGGAATATCCAGGTAAAATACAAAGTCTAATATTATAGTTCAAAAAATCGTGGTGGAGGGAACGTGTTAGTTCTATTACATCCTGTGGGTTAACCATTGGATATATTTCAAAGATTGAGGAGTCATTCTATTTACAGTCTTATCTTGAGTGTCATAGCGTTATATTTTAATCGGATATGTCGTTTTCAGTGGACGAGACTGGCAAACGTATCCGCACGAACGCGGACCACGGGCCTGTGAAGGATTACGACAGTTACGTATTTGACGTGTACAGCAAGTACGTGCCGCAGCCTGTCGACATCAGCACCTGTTCTGTGTATGATAAATACGATATACTGGAGGAGATTGGTAAGTAGCATATTGTGTACATACACGTTCACATCCACACAAATAACGCATGCGCACACACAACGTACATTGTACATACGTACACATAACGTACACGTGCGTGTAGAGTACGTACATGTTTGTAGAGTTTGAACACATAAGCTATGATTACACTAAAGTATTAATAAAAATAATAATTGCACGATAAAACAGTATATCAAAAAAGTTCTTGTTTTTAAGGTAAAAAACAAAACAAGGGTGTAGTTTGTGTATTTATCAATGGAATCGTGTAGTAAAAAAGTTTCTAAACACTAATATTTTAAATGTGTTTTGGTAATTACAAATAAAACGCATGTTTTTATTTGTTTTTTAATGAATTACATGAATAAAAATTTAATTTTTATGATTATTAGAAATGTTTATTTGACTTGAATTTTGGCTTAAAATATTATTTAAAGAATTCAAGCATGATAATAAAATTAGAACTAAAATAGACTCACGAAGTTGTTTGGGAGAGACTCCATGATTGATTAGTTTTAACACTGAACTAATATTGTAGTTAAACATTTTGAACTCTAAATGTAAGTACATAGTGGTGAATTTCGCAGGTGACTTCGTGAGAGCATCTTCTAAACGGAAACGAGACGGAGGTCTGTGTGTGAAAAGATCGATGTAGTGCATCTCTCTCTGTCTGCATCTCTCTGTCTCACACGCACACTGCTATATTACAGATTTAAACATATTTTAGAAGGTTTATTTAGACATTTCCAAGGGAATTTATTACACAGAAAAGAAACAAAAACAAAAATCCGTCTAAATCATACCTTCAAATTTATTGTAATGTTTTAGCATGGATTTTGTTAGTGTATTTTATTTATAATGATTATAAAGGATGTTCTCTTATTTTATAATATTATATTTACATATACAGTATGTTCTCTTAAAATAAAATTAATTAATTTATGTAGATAGTTGAGCACGTTTTTGCATTTCAATGGTCACATAATGCAATATTAAATTTAGTGTAATAAAAACATAATAAGTAAATATATAAAACAGATAATAAAAACCACAGCACGAATTTAAACTTTAAAATATAACTATAGAGTTTTCATTAAAGTAGAAGCACGTGATATTAAAAAGACTAAGTAGAAATTTGAGACTTATTTCGTATGCGATAAGGTGTAAGTTCGCAAGCATGAGGTGGATGTAACTGTTGTAGGCACAGGCGCGTTCGGTGTGGTGCACAGATGTCGCGAGAGGAGCACAGGCAACTACTTCGCGGCTAAGTTCATACCGGTCGCCGGTGCGATGGAGAAGGAGCTAATTAAGAAAGAGATAGATATAATGAATCAGCTACACCACAGAAAACTTATCAACTTGCACGACGCTTTCGAAGATGATGATGAAATGGTGCTGATATTCGAATTGTGAGTATTTTAATTATGAAATTTCATGTAATTTGCTTAATATTTTGCATAATAAATAAGGTTTGATGTTATAATGACGTTTAGATGTCCAACTAACCGTGGGTTTCTGACGTCAAAATTTCGGTTTCAAAAACCCACTATAAGTCACTGTAACTGACTGATTGGTGGTTTCTAATACCAAAATCAATGTATAAAATAAATCGTCGTTCTTCTAAGTGTCTGACAAAAACAAACAACAATGCGTTTTATAGGTATTTTGGTTTCAGAAACCCACAATTACTTTGTAGTATTCTGTAGCTTAAACGACGTGAGGTATCATTTGATTCGTATTCTTACCCGGAATGTCATGGGACTTTTGTTTTTTTATGAATCTATTAACATATATGTGTGTCAGTTTGTCTGGCGGTGAGTTGTTCGAACGCATCACGGAGCCAGGATACAGCATGAGCGAAGCAGAGGCAGCTCATTACATGCGGCAGGTGTGCGAGGGAGTGCGTCACATGCACGAGCAGAACATCATACATCTCGACCTCAAACCAGAGAATGTCATGTGTCAGACAAGAACCGGCACTGATGTTAAGGTAAATTTTACCTTAGTACTTAGGGTTAAATAACGTATTTCCTTACAGAATTGTATTGTCAATTTTTTTTTGGAATATCGAAACGGTAACTATAAAACCGAACTCCAATTCTTAACTCTTGTCTTAAGTCTTAACTCTTCTTATCTAACATAGGGATAAAAGACAAATTAGAAATTGGGATACTTTATATTGTTTATGCCCATTGCTCTTGGAATTGTATTACTGTATGTATGTATACAACGCGATTGTATAAAACTAGATCTATCTAGATAAATAAAAACCCTAAAACTCTTCGAAATGTAGTTTAATAGTTTTTTCGATAAACTCAAAAACTATTAAACTATATTTCGAAGAGTTGAAAAAATCAACTGTAACGCTATTACATTGGGAAAAATTTTCTTAGATTATCGATTTCGGACTGGCTACAAAACTGGACCCCAACGAGGTCGTCAAGATATCAACTGGTACAGCGGAGTTCGCGGCACCAGAGATCGTGGAGCGCGAGCCGGTCGGCTTCTACACAGACATGTGGGCAGTTGGCGTGCTGGCTTACGTGCTGTGAGTATATCATCTAAGTGTGGGCTTACACTGCACTTGTATAGTCTTCAAATATCTAGGCAGCTTGGGACTTCGCATAACTCGTAGTTGACCTTGAGCCATTACAATTGAAACGGCCTATACAGGAATACAATGTCGTTATTATTTAGCTTCATATTTATTCATATAAACAGTCGCCTTATTTCTGATATTTTTTTAAATGTTTTCCTCTATGTATAGATTGTCTGGATTATCACCGTTTGCGGGTAACAACGATATTGAGACCCTCAAGAACGTGAAGGCTTGTGACTGGGAGTTCGATGAAGAGGCCTTCCAGCACGTCTCCGATGACGCTAAAGACTTCATCAGACGTCTGCTTGTTAAGAACAAGGAGTAAGTTTTACAGTTTTTTTTTAGAAAGTCGTATAATATGAAACAGTTCACAACATAAGTATATAATAGTGCTTTACTTTACAAGTAATCTTATTAATATTATGAATGAGAATGTTTAGATAGATGGATGGATGTTTGTTAGAAAGTTTTTCCAGAACGATTGTAAAATATAGTCTCAAAAGACACATAGACTACTATTTTTTTTTTCGATTCCGGTTAACCGAAAGCTAGTATGTCCTATGTTTTTTATTAGAAGCATTATCTTATGATTTTTCTGTAATTTTTGTATAAATATACGTATGTTTCTGTGTACAGGAAGCGCATGACCGCGCACGAGTGCCTCGCTCACCGCTGGCTGGCGGGAGAGGGCGCTGCCTCCCGCACCGCGCCCGTGCCCGCGCGACGCCTCGAACAGATGCGCGACAGGTTGCGCGCCAGGTATCAGGTCTGTATTCAACCCTATTGCTATACACATAGAGTGCATTTTTACACAGAGGAAGGTGATTTGGATTTCAAGGACAAGTCACGTTTAGATGTATTTCGTTACACGAAGGAGACAAACGATAAATTCTTAAAGAGTGTCCACAATTATTGGAACAATTAAACAGTTTTGATATTCTTGATTTGTTTGTAAGTTACAAAATTGTCAACTTCTTACTAATATTATAAGTGTGAATATTTGGATGTATGGATGTTTGTTAGAAGTTTTCTCTGGAAGGGCTGTATGAATGATAGAACATAGAAAAAGACAGCTATTTTTATTCTGCCCGGACGATGTTGTAGGTAGTAGCTAGTTCAAATATACATTTTATTGAAAATATGTGTTTGTCTTTAGAACTGGTCGTCGTTCGTGTTGCCGATCGGCAGGCTGAGCGAGTACAGTTCCCTGCGCAAGTTGCTCATTGAGAAGTGGAAGATATACGATGGACAGTTCGGTAAGAAATATATTTGTTATAATCTCCATCCAATTTCCATGTTGAAAGTAGCCGACAGAATGGCCCATTGTATTGAGTCTCATGATTTTATACACGCGACACTAAAGACAAACTAAAATCGGGATAAAAAAAAACAAACTAATTTATTATTTATTAAAAACACGTCGGTGACTCAGGTATGTGTGTTTTTTCGATAATATACGTCCAAGTTTGACTTTCGTATGGTGAAGGAAAACATCGTGAAGTCGACCCGTATTTGGTCAGCGTATTGAATATGACCTAGTTGCCTCTAACTTTGGGTAGGCTTCTGAGCCTCTCATTGAGAACTTATGAGTTGATGATGATGTCAAATTGTTACAATAAATCCTCGTTGTGTTTAGACCGTCGTCAAGCTGCACCACGCTTCGTGATAAAGCCGCAGTCAGCGTTCTGCTACGAGGGCCAGTCAGTGAAGCTGTACTGCCGCGTGGTGGCCTGCGCCACACCCACTGTCACGTGGTCGCGCAACAACCGCGAACTGCGACAGTCTGTCAAGTTTATGAAGAGGTATATATTCAAAGGATTTCAGAGGATTTTGTAGCGAAAAAAAATTTCAAGCATTTTTTTGTTGATGCATGATTTTTTGAATGCACTAGTAGATTGAAGGTATTTCCAGGGTTGTGATGTGGTCACAGTTAAACTTTTTATCTGTATATTATTATGATTTCGTAGTAAAGTAAAATATTTATTACAGTTGGTTTCTGAGGACTAAAATCTCTGTATAAAACATATCGTAATCTTTGATTATCTTTGACAAAACAGAGATAAAAATATGTTTTAAACGGGAATAAAGGTCTCAGAAACCCACGCTTAGTGATACACAAAGCGCGTTGTACAAAAAAAAACTATTCTCTTTGTAAGTAGAGTTGTATAGAAAGGTAATTGTTAACAGATACTCCGGCAACGACTACTACTTCATAATCAATCGCACGAAGCTGGAAGACCGCGGCGAGTACATCATCCGCGCTGAGAACCACTACGGCTTCCGCGAGGAGGTCGTCTTCCTCAACGTGCAGCGTGAGTCACTCTCTACTCTAATCACTTGTCTCCTCTCTTCTTCTCACTGTACTCCATCTCTATCTTACATACAATGTGTTTATATACCGTGCATCGTTTTGTGACGTCATATAAAAAAGTGGAATCGAAAAAATAGCTAACGGCATTTTTTTTAACATGTTTTATCTAGATTTTTGACAAGTTTAAGGTTATTGATGTAAACATATTGATTTAGAACGTATAGTATACACCAATTATATCCAATAAAGTGTTTGTAATTTGTCGTCTTGAAAATCAAAGATAAACTATTAAAAGGTTTCAAGTTACTACAAAATTTTATATGTAACATTTTAATATTACAGTTACAGTGGTTTTCTGAGACTAAAATCACCGTTTAAAATATTTCGTTATCTCTGTTTCGTCAAAAATAATGATAAGGACGATATGTGTACAGAGATTAAGGATATGAAGACAGGCGTCAAGTGGAAGCAATTCCGCGTTTCGTCTGATGAGTGTGCGTCCCGGAGGCCTAATTTAGTCCTCTTTCCCCTCCCCCCCTTTTTCTCATAAGGAAAGGATGGGAAATGGAAGTGGACTTTCCGGATGAGAGGATGCATGGAAAGGGAAAATATTTTCTTTCTGTGCATCCTCTTCTCCGTCGATTAAAGGTGGCAACGCATATGCAATTGCGTATGTCTATGGGCAACGGTCACTTCGGGTGGTCGCTCGCTCGTTTGCCACCTTATGATATAAAAAAAAAATATTTTTGTCTCAGAAACCAACGATAATTAGTAACACTGTGGTCGTTATGAATTGCAAATTGTCATGTAGGTTAGTATTAAACTAGCATGTTTATATGGGTTTCCGTGTCTGAGAATAGTTCGGTGTGAGTTATTGACGTCGTCTGATGCCTCGACAACAATTGAACGATAAATCGCACGCGCGGAAATATTTATAGCCTTCCCGAGCAGTAAATGTCACATCAAACACTTGGCCCGTGCGCCGGATACTCGATATGTATATAAATATATATTTCTTATATTATTATGTAAAGTTGTTGATTAGAGGAATAATTAAATTGGAAAATCTATGAAAATTATTTAATGTTAAACTATATATTTTTCTTAAATAACTAATAATGCAATATTTTATGTTAAATTGCAGTTTGTTCTAATTATTTACTAGTTGAAGGATTTAATGTAAACTTTCGTATGTAACAACACATCAAAAATGAATATGCATTAGACAATTCCTTTTTAAAATTAATTAAAAAAAACATAAAACGTGGGACAAATCACAATTTATATTAACCTTGCTCAAGAAAATATGAAGTTAGGTCAGTTTTCACTGTCGATACACTTGTATAAAAACATGTCAATACATACATTGCAGCGGTGCCGCGCGTGCAGCGCCAGCCTCCAGCTGAAGCTCCGCGCCGGCGCGAGGCCCTGCCCTACACGTTCTGGCAGGAGTCGAGCGAGACCGCGCCCGCCTTCACCTTCCAGCTGCGGCCGCGTGTGATGCAGGCGCGCGACACCTGCAAGCTGCTCTGCTGTCTCAGCGGCAAGCCCACGCCCACCGTCAAATGGTACGTCACTGCGCATCGCCCCGCCGCGCCCACACCACGTGCACATTGCGTCCGAACTTACCTATTTAATTATTATAGTATATAAGCCTAATATTATTTATGTATAATATTTATTAATTTCTTAGACTTATAGCTAAGTGACAATAATAAATACATCTCACTTTTAGTATAAATATGAATGTTTATATGGATGGATGGATGAATGAAAATTTGAAGGTATCTCCAGAACTGCTCAAAGGATTTTGATGAAATTTGGCACGCATAGGAGCATAACTACATATATACTTAGGCTATTTATTAGCATTTTTTTTAATTCCGTGCGGACGGAGTCGCGGACTATAGCTTGTATATAATAATTAGAGTACAGCCTACTGTTGTAGCGTTGATTTTAATAAATAATTTTCCCGTATGCCAATAAATATTTACTTAACTAAACGTAATATCATTATGAAAATTATGTTTCTTTATTATGTTTTCTGTAGCCAGCTGAGTTAGAAAAATTTAGAAAAGTTGCATTACAAATTACTCATTTTGTACGGTAAATTTAGAAGAAAAAAGCATGAACTTATAGTCTC